TTTCCCACCTCCCCCCCACGGCAGAGGTGCCCCGGGCAGTGCCCACCCCCGGCCAGCATGGCAGTGAGCACCACGCCGCAGGCCCAGACGTCCACGGGCTCGGCGCGGAACTCGGGGCGCCGCAGCAGCTCGGGGGCCACGTAGGGCAGCGTCCCACACATCCGGCTCAGCTGCCGCTCCCGCCCGTTGTGCCGGAAGACCGTGGCCAGGCCGAAGTCTGAGATCTTCAGGTTGTCTGGGACAGGGGTCAACCAGGGACAGAAAGTCAATATCATTGGAAGAGAAATTGGAAGGGAAAACAAAAATGATCAGAGGGCTGGAGCACCTCCCCTAGGAAGACAGGCTGAGGAAGTTGGGGCTGTCCAGTCTGGAGAAGAGGAGGCTCCGTGGTGACCTTAGAGCTGCTTTCCAATACCTGAAGGGCCTACAAGAAAGCTGGGGCAGCACTTTTTGCACAGGTGTGTAGCGAGAGGACAGGGGCAATGGTTTAACACTTGAAGGGAGGAGATTTAGATGAGATATTAGAAGGAAATTCGTTACTGTGAGGGTGGTGAGACATTGGAACAGGTTGCCCAGGAGGTCCTGGAAGCCCCATCCATGGAAGTGTTCAAGGCCAGGCTGGATGGGGCTTGGAGCAACCTGGTCCACTGGGAGGTGTTCCTGCCCATGTAGAGGGGTTGGATCTAGATGATTTTTAAGGTCCCTTCCAAGCCTAACATTTTTATGATTCTATGAAATGAGGGATGGAGAGGAACAGGATGGGGTGGGATGAGGATGGCGATGGGGTGTGCCTACCTCGCTCATCCAGCAGCAGGTTCTCTGGCTTCAGGTCACGGTGGGTGATGCCAATGCTGTGCAGGTAGACCTGGGGATGGAGAGAAGGGTCAGTACCACACAGGATCATCGCTGGCATTGCCAGCAGCACTTCTGGCATCACCACTGGCCCCACCACTGAGACCCCTGCTGCACTCACCACACCGGCGATCAGCTGCTGGAAGAACCGCTGTGCCTCTGGCTCCGGCATCCCGATATCCGGCTCTGGATGAGAAGGAGACGAGCAAGTCTCAAGCCTTTTGGGATAAATGCTTTCCAGGCACCGTTCCGTGGGCACCGAGGGCGCCGCTACGCACCGATGCGGTCGAAGAGCTCGCCCCCGCTGCAGTACTCCAGGAACAGGTACTGGGTGGCCCCTTCCCGCCGGTGCCCGTAGAACTTGACAACATTCTCGTGGTTGAGCATCTTGTTGATGCAGATCTCCTTCTTGATGTTCTCTGGGCAGTCAGCTGCCCGCTTCATGTCCACAATCTTGACAGCCACAGCTTCCTCAGTGCGGCGGTTGACGGCCAGCTGCACCCTGGGGTGGGTGGGGGGTCAGCGGGGGCCCCAGCGGGCACCCACCAGGGAGGACACTGCTGGGGGGGTGGGCAACGGGCAGGTGCAAGTGGCAAGCAGTGGGCACAAAAGGGGCATGTAGTGGCCAAGCAGTGGCCATGCAGAGACACACTGGAGCCAAGCAGCAGGCACATAAGGGACACGCAATGGGCAAAGAGATGAGTGGCAAGGAGTGGGCAAGGAGTGGCAGAGGGCACACACGGGGCATGTGATGGGCAAGCAGTGGCACATAAGGGACATGCAGCAGCTAAAGAGGGGACACACAAGGGGCAAGCAACAGGCAAGTAGTAGGCAAGCAATGGGCAACCAGCAGCTGTGCAGCAGGCACATAAGGGGCACACAAGGGGCACACAGTGGGCAAACAGTAGGCACACGTGGGGCATGCAGTGGGCAAGCAGCAGCCATACAATGGGCATAGCAGGGGCGAGCAGTGTGGGTGTGCAAGTGTCACGCGGGGGTCCGGGAGGACAGTGGGCGTGCAAGGGGCGTGCAAAGCTCTGTCCGTCCGTCCATCCGCCCCCGCCTTCCCCTCCCCCGCACTCACTCTCCGTAAGCGCCTTCTCCCAGCGTCTGCACCAGGTCCCAGTCCTCCACGAAGGGCACCGCCATCCCGGGCACCGCCATCCCCGGCACCGCTCCCGGTCCGGGACCCGCCGCCGGTCCCGGTCCCAGTCCCAGTCCCGCCACCGCCGCCTTTTCCCGCCAGCGCCGCCGCGCCCCGCCCCGCCCTGCGCGCGCAGGACGCCCGGGTCCCTCCCCTCCCCTCCTCCTTCCCATCCAGGTACCTCCCTTCCCATCCACCTCCACAGCCCTGATAGGGCAGATTTCCCTTTGCCCCGAAATTGCTTAAAAGCAGTAAAACGGCCCCCAAAACCCCTCTCCGCGCGCTCAGGCTGGGGGAAAAGAAATCCCCAGCAGAACTGGGGTGGAATAAAACCAAACCGGCTTTTCTTAAAATTTAATTCTTATCACTTACAATTCCCTGTGATTCAAGCCCCAGTTAAAGCCATTATCTCCGATTTGGCAACTGTTCCGTGTATAAAAATCACTCCCTGGCAGGCAGGGACGGGCAGGGGCAGGCCAGGGACGTGTGTGTGTGTCCCCACTGCCTGTGCTTACAAATTGTAGAAAACAAGGAAAACAAAACAATGCCCCCCCCCCAACCAAAATCCCCCCCAAATATTCCTGCTTCACAGGCCCAGCGGGGTCAGTGCGGTCGGCGCGCGGGCGGCGGCAGCTCCTCTACGTTCTGGACAAGCCGCGATTATCCAAATCCTTCACCTTGGTGGTTAAAAAAAAAGGTGAGATGAGGTGAAATTCTGTTTTTTCCCAGATTTGAGGGGTTTCGGTTCATTTTGGGGCCCTACCTTGTATATTCGGACCAGCCAGTGCTCTGTGGTGTAGGCCTCCTCCAGCACATCCAGCTCGAAGTCCTTGTTGCCGATCTCAGCGTTCCTCACCCGGTCGTAGCCCGGTGGTCGCTCTAGAAGAGGGCAAAGCACAGGCAGCACTGCCCCGTGGCACCCCAGGGAGGTCGGGGTGCCCCAAAATGGTGTCACCCCTCTGCAGGGAGCAGTTCTAGGGACTCACTGGCCTCGGTGTAGACCTGGCCGAAGCGGTAGTAGCACATCTTGTACATGAGGCAGTTGAGGAGCACCGGGGAACCCTCACGGTCGACGCGGAACTCCCCCGTGGGGGTGTAGTAGTCGTGCTCCTTGATGTGACGTCCCGTGTCCGTGCTGCCCCCGATCCGCACCATCCACAGGAACTTGTTGATGTCTGAAACGGGGAGAGCAGAGAGGTGAGGCCAAGAGAGAGGGCTTGAGGTGAGGACAAAAAGTGAGGGGCTGAGCTGGGGCAGAGGGAGACACTGAGCTGGGGAAAAGAACAAGGGGTTGAGTTGAGGTGGGGACAAAGAGCAAGGAGGGCCAAGAGTGAAGCTGAGTTCAGTCGAGTTCAGGGGTGAGAAGGGAGAAGTTGAGTTTGGGACAAACATCAAGGGGGTGACTACAAAGAACAAGGGTTGAGCTGGGGGCAAAGAGCAAATGGGTTGGGTTGGGAGTAGCAGGAAAGCCCCTTGCAGCTCTCAGACAGGAGCATTTTGGTAGTTTCCACTTTGCAGCCAAGCTGAAGGTGGGACTTGGCTCCACCAGGCACTGTTTTGGAGAAGCCTGCACTATCAATGCCCCGTGGATGGCTTTGACACAGCTCATTGTGAGATCTTACCATCTGATGAGTACCCAGTGAGGCCTCCAAAGATCACCAGCACGTAGCTGACATCCAGCTCCCTCATGATCTCATAAGCTTTCTCCTCTGTTGATGCCATTGCCTGGGGCAGACACAGCATCAGTCACACAGTGTTGTGCCCCCCAAAGGACAGTGCAAGGCAGCAGGTGAGGGACAGACCCACCTGACCAACGCGGGAGATGTGTGTGTTGTTCCAGGTGTTGTTGTCCACCAGGATGGTCCTGTTGGCCATGGCAGTTATCTGGTACCCATAGTCCCACCAGGACATCACCTTCGCATCCTGCACCCAAACACCAGAGGTGCTGTCAGAACCTCAGCAGACCATGTTGGGTCCCCACCACCCAATTTACCCCTGTTGACCTCCGGTGTGTTGTGTCGCAGCCAGTAATAAGCTTCTCTGAAGTCATCAAAGATGATTCTGCTGCCATCCCCACCCCGTGCAGACAGAACGATGGAGGGGGAGGAGTAGGCCTCGCTGGTCACCCAGGTGGAGTGGAAGGTGTAGGTGATCAGGAAGAAAGCCATGACCAGAATCATGCCACTGGCAACCTAGGCGAACAAACTGGAGTCAGTGCTGGAGGGCTGAGGCCACCAGCCACTGTGCTCATTCCCACCAGGACTGGGTGTCTTCTCCTTCCAACACTCACTTCATTTTTTATGGGGTAGGTGGAGTCTTGCTGCTTTTTGCTCTTCTTGTCTGGCCGGCTGATGTCCAGGTTCTTCATGTAGGTGGACAAGACCTGAGAAACCCCGATGCCAGACAGGATGCACATCACTGGGGCCAGCACCAGCATGAGACGCACCTACAGGTAACAGCAGGAAAGTCAGTGCCTGTCAGAAACCTGGACAGACATCTGAGAGGAGAGGGAAATTAAATGCTATCCTTCCTTCCCCACCTCAAATCCAGCAGCAACATCAGCCTGGAGATAAAACCGTAGCCGATTTTGTTAGTGGGTGCAGGCTGGGAGCTGCCACCATCTGAGAAACCCCTGAAGGAAGTTCTCTGAAGTTCTCAAAACTGGCTAAGTGACCTCAATTTAACATCCCTTGGCATTCCGAGGTGGAGCCAAGAATGAAAAGATGCCTCCAAACTAGAAATCAACCTATGTTTAGGGCTTGGGGTGCTAAAGCAAGAGCAGAAACAGACTCAGGAGCAGCTGTTTCTCATCAGTTCCTCCTTGTACACCTGGAGAATTTGTTCAGATTTGCAACTCAGCTATGGGAGACGAGGAACCAAGACCTGGTGGTGGAGAGCAGTGGCCATAAGGAAGCCAGTAACACCAAAACCAGTCAGTTTTGCAACCTGGCTGCTTGTAAATCAGGGAGAAAAGCCCCATGAATGTTTCAACCAGCTCAAGGTGCAAGGACCATGAAGAAGCTTAGAAAAAGCAATTAAATCAGCTTCATTAAGGCCATTTCATCCTTCCAGCCCTCACCATCACAGCTGAGAAGTACATGCTGGTCACACCATACATGATGATGAAGATGCGGGCATCCGAGAGGTTGCTGAAGCAGTAATAGAGACCAACTGCAAGAGGAAGGAGAAACACATCAGACTTGGAGAATAATCCAGAAGAAAACCCTTCTGGTGATGTAATAAATCAGAGTCTGATGCCATCTGGGCTGGGGCTCACCTGGGAACATGAAAACGAGAAGCTGCAGGTCAAAGTAATAGGAGGACCAAGTGGTGGGTTGGTGCTCAGAGACGGAGGCGATGATGGGGATGTTGTTCTTGGCGTAGGAGGGATCCAGCAGGGAGTAGAAACGCCCCGTCCATGGGGAGATTTTCCCTAGGGAAGAGGTGAAAAAAAAATTGTATTAGGTCCCAACAAGGAGCAAGTGACAACATGGACAAAGTGGTCTCACACACAAGAGGCTGAGGGACCAATCCTGGACCTCATTCAACATCTCTGTTCCTCAAAACTGCCATTTCAGAGAGGAAACACAGCCCAGTTTCACCTTATAAAGACTTCTCTCCCACCCCACCTTTATTGTGAGCATCTCTTCACTACTACAGATGGGCATTCAGCTTTAGAGGTTTCCCCCTGTGCCTCATGTCACCCAGAGCCCAGATCTCCCAGCTGCTACTTCAATAATGATGATGAAGGGACTGCAACTTCTGTCATATGAGGAAAGGCTGAGAGACCTGGAGCTGTTTAATCTGGAGAAGAGAAGACTAAGAGGAGACCTGATTAATGTCTATAAATATCTGCAGGGTGGGTGTCAAGAATGGGCCAGTCTCTGTTCAGTGGTGCCTGTGACAGAACGAGGGGAAACAGCACCAAGTGACAACACATGAAATTCCACCTCAACATGAGGAAGAACGTCTTTCCTGTGAAGGTGATGGAGCCCTGGGACAGGCTGCCCAGAAAGGTGGTGGAGATTTTCTGGACCCATCTGGATACGTTCCTGTGTGACCTGCCCTGGGTGTTCCTGCTGCAGCAGGAACAGTTGGACTGGATGATCTTGAGAGGTGCCTTCCAAGCCCTATGATGATTCTATGAATATTTTCCTGCTTATGTCAAAAAGAGGGCAGGTCCTGGCTTCCCCCGCAGGGGGGAGCTCAGGAGTGCTGAAAATGCAAAATTAATCCTGGCTAATTAAGAAATTAAAGAAGGCCCTTGTCACCACCACTGCCTTGAGCTACCTGTGAGCATCAGCACGGCCCCGATGGAGAGGAGGACGAAGCCGACCAGGGAAATGACACTTCTGAAGAGGATTTCGAACTGCTGGGGGTTCAGCTTGCTCCGCAGGTAGTCAACAAAGGCATGGATCTGGCACAGGCCAAAGACTCCCAGGGCAGCCATGTGCTCCGAGGAGAGGACAGGCTGCAAGGAGGACAGCATCATCAGACAGGGGGGAACATCAAGAGCCGTGTCTCGGACAACAACAGCTGCATCGCGCAGCGTCAGCTTTTTTTAAACAAATTTAGTCATGGGAAACCACCCTTAAGCCTGCATCCTTGGTGCCCACCTGGAAGCCAACAAAGGAGATCTGCATGGAGAGGATGGTTCCCAAGCAGTAGACAGTGCAATAGGCTACATAGATCCTGTGGGAGAAGCGGCCAGTCAACATCAACACAAGGACGTGCAGGGGGATGAGGTTAATCAGAAAGACGTAGCCACCCCATGAGGAGACCTGCCAGGAGACAAAACACAAACCTGAGTTCCATGATGGAAAAGGTCACACAGCAGAGGCAGATTGGATTTTCCTGGGATTTTCACCCAGGGGCTCTCCCCAGAAGCAGCCCCAACAGCCACACCTGCCAGATGCTCTGATTGTTCAACCTTGTTTATAAAACCTTGCCCAGAAACCTGCTCGGTTTTGGTAAGTGGAAACGAGTGCAGCAAACACTCATCCCACCTCCACACCAAACCTTCTGCCCAGGCTCCAGCTCCCTGAAGACAAGGACACAGGAAGAACACCTGTGTGTTTTTGGTCACCACACCCAGAAGTGCCAGGCAAAGGAAGGAAGACTCACCATATAGAAGTAGGCCAGGGCACACATGGCTGCCCAATAGATGGAGCCGGTCTTGACGGCCTTGATCCACAGGTAGTAAGTCAAGAGCATGCAGAAGATGGCGATGCCTGGGTGGAAGGACATGGAAAAGTCACAACAAGCTCACATCAGCCCTACAACGTCAACATTTTAACTCCAGGGTGCACCAGAGCACCCAGTAAGATAAAAAAAAAAATATTTGGTGCTTCCAATTCCTCAGTGGTTCCCGAAAGCCCAGAGGAACCTGGATTCTCCTCCTGTAGACAGCAACAATGAGATGGCTGCCAAAGTCACCACCAGAATGAGGCTTAGTGCGGAGAATCCTGAGCAGAGCTCGTGGAGGTGGGAAAACGTGAGAGGCCTTAAAGGTTTTCTGAGCTCCAAGTGGCACAAACTCACCTTCATTATCGTAGGAGCCAGCGACGGAGCGAGAGATGTACCCAGGCACCACTGCAATCATGGCAGCAGCCAGGAGGCCTGCTCCTGCATCCTGGGGGGAGAACACAGCCAGAGGGTGGAAAAAGGCATCAGGTTTTGTGGCTTGTGTTGTCCCACACGGATATGCCTTGAGGGAGTAAAAAACTGGGCCTTGAAATGAACATTCCAGGTGCATCCCCTTACCTTGAGTTCTTTGGTGAGGTGATAGGTAACAATGGTGGTGAAGGAGGAGAAGAGGGGAGCCAGGAAGACACAGACGTTCCGGATGTCAATGGTGATGTGGAAGAAGTGCAGCACATGGTAGATGGCTGCTGAGGTGATCATCAGGCCTGCGGGACAGCAACGGCACCGTTACTGGGGTGCGCTCCCTCTGCTCGCTGAGAGCCTCACCAGGAAGGAGCTCCTGTCCAGGACACCTCAATGAAAGGCATCTCCCAAGCTCCCTTTAGGCTCACCAGAAGTCTGCTGGTTTACCTGGATAAATGGTCCCCCCAATAATCCTGCCCAGGGGGTACCAGGCGCGGTCATCAAACCAGTTGTGGAATTTGTAGAAGCCCTCCTCGGCCAGGAAGCGGGTGGTGCGGTAGTTAAAATACCTGCAAGGACAAGCATGAAACAGAGCCACATCTAGATGTAGAACCTGTACTGAAAACCACTCTCCAAGTCCCTCCTCCACAACAGGGATTAACTTGAGACCACCCAGAAGAAAATAACTCCACAGTCCCCCAAAGGAACTGGAAGAAAACACTTACGGGTCAAACTCATGGATGACACTTTCAAATCTTAAGACAGAAAAAAGTCTGGTGGAGAAAGCTGCAAAAGGAGAGAAAGGGCAGAGTGAATCCATAGGGTTCCCGAGATGGAGTTTTATTAATTTTATCTATTTTTTGGCTAAGTTTAAATTGGTTTTGTCTCAAACTGGTCACCGGGAAGACAGAAAGATGTGTATCTCCAAGGAATAGATACCGAAGTTTACTTCCAAAAGATGAGAACTCCACAGTGCATGAAGGAGGAGCTGAGGTGGCTCCATCCAGCAGGCCCATCTCCACAAGGCTGGCATGGCAGGACACAGACTTACACAGCACAGCTGCCATGGACAGGATGAGGAGCTTGAGCAGAGTGTCCTGCTTCTCATAGGACAGCCGGAGGAACCCTAACTTGGTCATCTTCACATCAAAGGCAGGGACTGAGGATGCTTCAACACCTGAAACCAAAGAGGGAAAGTGAGCCAAGAGCCAGCCAGACCCTCCACGTCCCTGAATGTTTCATGAAGGACCTTAAACACTCCACTCCTACCCAAGGAGGCTGTTGGCTATCTCCCAGATGCCGTCACTGATCCCTGTCTCCCTTCCCCAATCCCTGCTTCCCGTCCTCACCTGATCACCCAAGTCTCAGCTGAGGTTTTTCTTTCCTTCACAGAAACCAGAACTTCTTTGGGGCAGAGGATGTGTCTGTTTCTCTGTGTATAAAGCACAGCCCACATGTAAGCTTGTAGTTAATCTTACTCCAGCTGATATCTGGAGTTTAGCCACCACCTCTAAGCAATGCTAGAAAAAATAACCCAGAGAACACATGATTTCTACTCTTAAAAACACTCTGATTTAATTAAAATACTTATTTACCCTATCAATCCCAAAAAACCCCCACCACCTCCTGCAGCTTCAAGCAGACCCAGATCTGGTGGATAAACCCTCAGCTCCTATCTCTGCTAAGGAGGGTGGATGAGGACAGGCTGAGATTTAAAAATAAAATACAAACTGGGCCTGAAAAAAACATCTGTCTGTGACCTGAAAGTGCTTCTGATTCCTGCACATTTGTCACCAATTGCTACACAAATCGCCTCATGTTGTAATTATTTCCTGGTTCCCCCAGGGCTGATCACAACGGGACAACGATGCCTCCCAGACAGAAGGGGCTTTGCCACCACCAGCACCCCGAGTTACACAGACTCAGGGGGGCAGGGGGACCCTTGGCCACCCAGTAATGCCACAGAACTGGCAGCCCCCAGGGGTGGGACAGAGGAAGAGCAGCCCCCGGGCTGTGGGCTAACGCCCTGTGCTCAGCACCAGCCTCGGCGGGCTGGGCTGTGCCCTGCAAGGCGCTGCGTCCCTGTGGAGCACCCCCCTTCTGTGCCCCCCATATCCCTGTGCCCCCCATTCTGTGCCCC